AAATCTATGTACCAAGTTTCATCAAAATCCAATGAGTGGTTGTTTAGATATCAGAGGAACAGTCATGGAACCACTAAAAAATAGCTAATTTTCATGCAAATTAGGTAATTAATATGCACGGATTTTTACCAAAACCTAATCAAAACCTAGCATTAGTTCAGAAAATCTATGTACCAAGTTTCATCAAAATCCAATGAGTGGTTGTTTAGATATCAGTGGAACAGTCATAGAACAGCTAAAAATTAGCTAATTATCATGCAAATTAGGTAATTAACGAGCATGGATTTTAACCAAAACCTAACATTAGTTCAGAGCATCTATGTACCAAGTTTCATCAAAATCCAATGAGTGGTTCTTTAGATATCAGTGGAACAGTCATAGAACAGCTAAAAATTAGCTAATTATCATGCAAATTAGGTAATTAACGAGCATGGATTTTTACCAAAATCTAATCAAATCTGCGCATTGGCCCAGAGCATCTATGCACCAAGTTTCATCAAAAACCGATGTATGGTTCTTGAGATAGCAGTGGAACAGTCGGACACACACACACATACAGACACACTAACTGCAAAGACTCCCATTTTGTGCTTCGCACATGGGAGTCAAAAATGTGGAAACTGTGGGAAAAGGAAGGAAATCAATTGGGATACAAGACTTGGGCAGAGGAGAGAAGCTGGCCCTATTCTCCACCAGGAGACAAGAAAATGATGAATAATACCTTGATGTTTGTAGTCAGAAAAGTACAGGATCGTATTGACCTTCGCTACTTGTCAAATGATAATATTACCTTAATACTGCTTGTGAGCATTCTGCAAAGTATTCCCATGATAACTCCATACATGTAGTACTACACAACAATGATCTTTAAAATATATTTATTTCTGCCATTTTAAAGCAACAAAATACAGTGGTTTCCATGACTGGGCACAGCCTGTTCACGAAATACATTGTTATAAAAGTAGTAATTACTCTGCAATAAATGTAAAAAAAAAAACATGTACAAAAATCAAAATCCATTTCACTCTTCAAATATTAAAAACAGTTTCTAGGATCTACACTATTATAATTTAATTCAGTTACACACCATAAAAATCACACTTTCAAAGCAGTTTAAAAGAAGCATAATTAATAGTTGATTTATAATTGTTATCTTAATTCCTAATCTCAAACATTTTGAAACATGATTCTAGTTGAAGCTTAATTACTATTTAAAAAAATTATACTGAAATATAAAACAAGACTACTGTGCAAAACTATAAATTCATACAATAGATTTCTGGCATCCATATCTGTCCACTATTTGGATAATACATGATCTCATTAAAAGAAAGACTAGTTGTTTTCGCACTGATTGACTGCATTAATTATATCATCCTTAAATGAGGTCTGCCAGTCTATAATATAGGTGTCTGCATTCAGGTTTAAATACTGCTCTTCATCTGTCATCTCAAAGAGATCAGAGCTGGTTAATAACAACATTTTATGACCTATTAATCAAAGAGAAGATATTTATTTATTACGCAGATAAACAGGCAAACTTAATAGCCCACAATCATGATCCCTAAATGTCACACATCCTGATATCAAACTTTTATCGATAGAACTGTAATAAAACAATGTTACAAGTATTCCCATCACTAATTTGTTCAGTCTGACGACACAGCCCCCTGCATAGACTGTAAATTGTCATCTGTGCCATTTGGCAGTGCATATGCATATTTCCAGTGCTGGCATTAGTGAAAATTTGTTTTATTCAATAAAAACACTGATCACTTAGCAGTTAAAAAAAGGAATTATCAATCAGAGACTAAATGCCCTCAGGTGATGGCTAGGGAGGTGTGGTCACATCTCCTACATTAAAATCGATCATGGGATATTAATCAAAATATTTCACACATTGATTAAATATGTTCAACCAGTCATGCAAACACTGACGTACGTTGTAATTATAAGATGAAGTTATAAAGCGAAGAAATAAGTTGTGTTCACGCACAGCTCCTTAGCCTGTGCCGAGAAAACGTGCGTGAACATTTAGCATTGGCTAAGTATGGGTAAAATCTGATCTGATTTTGAGACGTGGTCTAGATTCTAGCACAGGCTAGCCAACTGTACACGAATGCTTAGCCCAGGGCTAAGCTACCTCTGTAGCGATCTTTGGGTGTGAATATTATGCACATGATCAAATATATGCAACTTTCTCATTTCCAAAATGGCAATCGAGCTCAGTGTGTACGAAACTTTGTTCCCTCGCAAAAAACTGGAGTGTCGAAGAGATAACAGCTTTACTGAGTATATGAAAAGACAGTGAAATCTTAAGACAGTTTGACTCCTCGCCAAGGAACAGAAAAAATGTTTATGGATATGCAAGTTAAATTAGAAGGATTTTTTGTAAACAGCGGCTTAACAAAGGTCACCAACTGATGGCGCCCCTTAGCCCGTGCTAAGGACTGGCCCTCCCAGTGCGTGGACAATTGGGTCTAGCCGAAATGCAATACATCGGCTTAAATCTTAGCCAGTACTTTGTGTAGCATGAACACTACTATGTAGGAACTAATGATTATCCACACTTACCACCTTCTTTTTCTAACTGTTGGCATACACATCCATTGGGCAAACGAGTAGTAATCATTTCATGCGTCGATATGTCCCTTCCAAGATTCTCCAACACTTTGATCTGATGATGTCTTTCATGGTTTCTAACTTTTAGGATTATACCAGTACAAACCTTGTCTTCATAGTTTTCTGGTATGGAAGACAAACACCGAGGACATGCTGTAAAAGAACAGATGCATAATACATTTAACAACACCAAGCTCATACATTTGCTTTTACAGTTTTTTTTATTTGACACACATTATCATTTTGTTTAACCTCACCAAATAAAATTCCATAAAATAGTTGTCATTACAAGCAGGTCAGCAAACAAAATGAATGCAATTGAAATGAACATGACAATTATTAGATTGAAGAATATTTAATTAATTGAAAATCTACATTTTTCAAAAGCCTTTGAATATACATGATAGCACCCCCTCCAGAGTTTCAGACACCTAGAATAAACACACAACATATTTGCTCTTTTAGTTGCGCATGCTCACAAATGCACAAGGGTGAAATTATAAGGCCCCTGTTCCAACCATGCCCACAAAAAACTAGCATTCAACAAATGAACAATATAACAAAACAATCCTTTATCTTTTTAATAGTTGCAAGCATTACAATAATATACACACAGCAAGATGTGCATATAAACGACTAAAACTTAAGAACTAGTGTTGAGTTAGTTATTTAAAACAAACAATGTTATTTAAAATTCTACTATTGATGGGCACTATAAAAACTGTACAAAAGTGTAAACAAGTATATATGGGCAAAATATGTCGCTGTAAACTAGGTAAACCCATGAACTGAATGGATGTGTAGGCAAAATTGCATTGTTTACCAATTGCATGTGCATATCTTGTTAATTTTATTAATGACACTAATGATAGAACTTTATGACACCAAAATACATTGATAGCTTGTCAAATAGAAAACATAGTTGAACTCTGGTGACCTTGCCCTTTGTTATATAATATAATTCCCTTTATCATAGTTTGTTTCAATATAAATATGCATTGTCATAATTAATTTTGAATACAAACAAGTTTTGGGGTTGAACCAACAGTGGGGAATCAGTCTACCGAATGTCCTTAAAAGATGTAAATATCTTACAAAAACATTGGTGCCTTATTTGTTTAATTATTTTAAGGGACATAATTTCCAGCTTTATTCAAATGTAATTCAGATATTTTATATAAAAACAAATGCCTCATCGCAAAAAAAAAGTACTGCATTTAGACTGAATAATTCATAATACATGCAAATACAGAAAATCTTAGCTGGCTTTTGTCCAATTTTTTTGTACAGTGTCTGTCAAAATTAATG